TGGATGAAGTGTTTTTGTAGATACGCCATTAAAATTGACGTTAGACCACGCCCAGTGAGTATTTTTATTGGTCCTGTATTAGCGGCCAGTTCCTCAAGTCTCGAGGGTGGCCCTTTGATACAGGTTTGACTGTAATTTACTTTTCTTACGAGTAGGCTTAAGCACCTAACTAAATTTATTGTAGCTACCGTGCGAAATATCTCTGGCTTAATAGCGGAGCCCCATACCTTAGAAAATTTGGTAACCCATCGATCTGAAAAATTTTGGTTGTCACGTGACCGTCCGTCCGTCCGCACCTTTATCATAGCTACATCTTTGATTTTGGGCGCCCACGCCATTGGTAATTGACAGCTGTCACAAGCTATCCGCTGACCAGTATCACGTGACTATATCGCGTCCTCAGGTTTAGAGCTCATCAAGGTTGCGTGTTTTTTTAAAGTTGACCGCTGACCAGTTACTGGTTTACCGATTGGATCGCGCGCTTAAGTCACGTTATTTCTCTGGGGGAGAAGGAAGGAATACTCGCAACAGTTTCTGATCCAAAAAAGATAACAATTCTCTTTTTCCTTTACGTCAGTTATTGCAATCAGGAGCTCCGCTTTTAGGCTTGGCTTAATCTATATATTAATCCTACAAGAAGAGTTAGAAAAAAACAAACAAACAAACAAGCAAAACGGAAGAACGAGCTTAAGTTGTGGTTAGACTTTAGGGCGCTATTTTATACCAGTCTGGGGTCACTAAGGCTGAACCTTTTTTCTTCTCGATGACCTTAATTTAAGTCAAATATACCTTTTCTTAATGTTCGTGAACTATCATTTTAATCGACCAAGATTCAGAAGATAACTTTCTCGCCTTACACGTATAATATATAAACACCATAGGTAGGAAAATAGAACTTAATGCCTCTTTCCGGGTCTGGCACTGGATGTTCTATGATTCCAGCCACTCCCAAGTTTTCTGTCCCAGAAGGCTGCATGTCGCTCCTGATTCAATAAAGACATTTGGCAAATGGACACCTCCATCTTCAACGGTTACTATTTCCCTTCTTTAGCCCGGCCTATCCCCCACGTAAAACAACTTTTCATGTGCGGAGTTTTGTTATGTTTCTTTTTCACTGTAAAACATAATTTGTGTTTGTCTTTTTTCACTCGCGCTTGAGGTATTTCTCTAGCCACGCTAACTATAGCTGATGCCTTGTCTCTGGCCTTTCCGGGAATCTATAGAGGGCCTCTTATGAAACTTTATTTTAAAAGAAGGATTCAATGGGATTTGCCGTTAGCCGTAAAACGGACTAACAATGTAGCCATTAAATGTACCAATTGGAAAGTTTTAACCGGAAGCGTGAACAAGTTTATCCGCTAAAGTGCTAGTCTCAAGATGTCTTTTCAAAAGACAATTTTGTCTTGTGTTACCAATAGTTTTAAAAATCTATATTAGTCTACAATCATATGATGATGGTCTTAAGACGTTAGATATATTTTGCAGTAATCGTACTAAATTTTTAACTTTTCAAAACAATAAAAGATTAGTTTTCGACTCCTTAAAACGTCTCTTTGGTTGATAATTTTTAAGATTCCTGTTAACCGTAAGGAAAATAGATTAACCGTAAGCAAGATTGTAATCTCTTACGGTATAATCCGTATAAGCCTCCATCCATTAAGACTCCCTTAAAATGTCCAGTTTCTCCACGCTGATCACACTTTCTAACTTGAGCATGGTCCTCTCGACCGTTATCAAACAGTCCCTGCTCTCACTATCCNTGGTCCTCTCGACCGTTATCAAACAGTCCCTGCTCTCACTATCCTCTTTGCTCGATCCTTCGTCGGGTATCACAAAGAGATGTATACCCTCAAAATACAAAATAGTTCAAAACTACAACAAAGGCATACTATGTCATCCCATTTGTATTGTAATTATATAGCTGGATCAAAATCCAATATTGCCAAGAGATCTATTTTTTATTAATTTTTGCCAACTGTCCAAATTTAAAAGAAATTGGATAGTTTTTGCTCGAACGTTTAGTTTAGCTTTGAACAAACTGTCCAATTTGAGAAAAATCTGGATACCTTTCATCAACCAATGAAATGTCAAGATAAATAAACGAACTGAGCATTGGCCAATCAGGTTGCATCTATTATCACTGCCATCAAACGTCAGCCAGCGACGGGAGCTCGCTAAGTTTTGTTATAATTTGATAATGGCAGAGTTTCCCGACTTTTCTCTCCACCTTTTTGACGTCTCAAACTTTCAATTCGAGTCTTAGCTAGGTTTGCAGAAATAGATGGTACTGATTTACTCGAGACGAGGGAGAAAAATCACAACTAGAACGCTCAAAGAAGCACAAAAACCTGGGTTAAAGTGCTTGGCCTGAGG